GGCTGAGGGAAGGAGGTTCTCACCCAAGATTTGACGGTACATGGTCCCGTCCATCGTCCCTTTGATGCGGTGAAATTGTCCTGTCCCCTTAGCAGAAAAACACCCCCAAAGCATAATGTTTCCACCTCCATATTTGATGGTGGGGATGGTGTTCTTGGGGTCATAGGCAGCATTGCTCCTCCTCCAAACACATTGAGTTGATGCCAAAGAGCTCGAATTTTGTCTCATCTGACCACAACACTTTCACCCAGTTCTCCTCTGCCAATGAACATCTGAATGATTCAAACTTCAGAAGGGCCTGTATATGTGCATTCTTGATTAGGGGGACCTTGCGGGCGCTGCAGGATTTCAGTCCTTCACGGCGTAGTGTGTTACCAATTGTTTTCTTGGTGACTATGGTCCCAGCTGCCTTGAGATCATTGACAAGATCCTCCCATGTAGTTCTGGGCTGATTCCTCACCGTTCTCATGATCATTGCAACTCCACGAGGTGAGATCTTGCATGGAGCCCCAGGCCGAGGGAGATTGACAGTTCTTTTGTGTTTCTTCCATTTGCGAATAATCTCACCAACTGTTGTCACCTTCTCACCAAGCTGCTTGGCGATGGTCTTGTAGCCCATTCCAGCCTTGTGTAGGTCTACAATCTTGTCCCTGACATCCTTGGAGAGCTCTTTGGTCTTGGCCATGGTGGAGAGTTTGGAATCTGATTGATTGATTGCTTCTGTGGACAGGTGTCTTTTATACAGGTAACAAGCTGAGATTAGGAGCTTTAAGAGTGTGCTCCTAATCTCAGCTCGTTACCTGTATAAAAGACACCTGGGAGCCAGAAATCTTTCTGATTGAGAGGGGGTCAAATACTTATTTCCCTCATTAAAATGCAAATCAATTTATAACATTTTTGACATGCGTTTTTCTGGATTTTTTTGTTGTTATTCTGTCTCTCACTGTTCAAATAAACCTACCATTAAAATTATATACTGATAATTTCTTTGTCAGTGGGCAAATGTAGAAAATCAGCAGGGGATCAAATACTTTTTTCCCTCACTGTGTATGTATGTATGTATGTATGTATGTATGTGTGTGTGTATATATATATATATATATATATATATATATATATATATATATATATATATATATAAATGATACACACACACACACACACACACACACACACACACACAACCAGTCAAAAGTTTGGACACACCTACTCATTCAATGGTTTTTCTTTATTTTTACAATGTTTTACATTGTAGAATATTAGTGAAGACATCAAAACTATGAAATAACACATATGGAATCATATAGTAAATCAAAATATATTTTATGTTTGAGATTGTTGAAATTGCCACCCTTTGCCTTGATGACAGCTTTGTACACTCTTGGCATTCTCTCAACCAGATTCATGAGGTAGTCACCTGGAATGCATTTCAATTTACAGGTGTGCCTTCTTAAAAGTTAATTTGTGGAAGTTCTTTCCATCTTACTGCGTTTGAGCCAATCAGTTGTGTTGTTACAAGGGGGGGGGGGGGGGGGGGGGTATACAGAAGATAGCCCTATTTGGTAAAGACCAAGTCCATATTATGGCAAGAACAGCTCAAATACGCAAAGAGAAACGACAGTCCATCATTACTTTAAGAATTGAAGGTCAGTAAATATGGAAAATGTCAAGAAACTTTGAAAGTTTCTTCAAGTGCAGTCGCAAAAACCATCAAGCGCTATGATGAAACTGGCTCTCATGAGGACCGCCACAGGAAAGGAAGACCCAGAGTTACCTCTGCTGCAGAGGATAGGTTCATTAGAGTTACCAGCCTCAGAAATTGCAGCCCAAATAAATGCTTCAGAGTTCAAGTAACAGACACATTTCAACATCAACTGTTCAAAGGGGACTGTGTGAATCAGGGTTTCATGATCAAATTGCTGCAAAGAAACTACTAAAGGACACAAATAAGAAGAGACCTGCTTGGGCCAAGAAACATGAGCAATGGACATTAGACCGGTGGAAATGTGTCCTTTGGTCTGGAGTCCAAATTTGAGATTTTTCGTTCAAACCGCCGTGTCTTTGTGAGACATGATCTCCGCATGTGTAGGTCCCACCGTGAAGCATGGATGAGGAGGTGTAATGGTGTGGGGGTGCTTTGCTGTTGACACTGTCTGTGATTTATTTAGAATTCAAGGCACATTTATCCAGCATGGCTACCACAGCATTCTACAGCGATATACAATCCCATCTGGTTTGGGCTTAATGGGACTATCATTTGTTTTTCAACATGACAATGACTAACACACCTCCAGGCTGTGTAAGGGCTATTTTACCAAGGAGAGGTATGGAGTGCTGCATCAGATGACCTGGCCTCCACAATCCCCTGACCTCAACCCAATTGAGATGGTTAGGGATGAGTGAAGGAAAAGCAGCCAACAAGTGCTCAGCATATGTGGGAACTCCTTCAAGACTGTTGGAAAAGCATTCCAGGTGAAGCTGGTTGAGAGAATGCCAAGAGTGTGCAAAGCTGTCATCAAGGCAAAGGGTGGCTATTTGAAGAATCTCAAATATAAAAATATATTTTGATTTGTTTAACACTTCTTTGTTTACTACATGATTCCATATGTGTTATTTTATAGTTTTGATGTCTTCACTATTATTCTACAATGTAAAAAATAAAGAAAAACCCTTGAATGAGTAGGTGTGTCCAAACTTTTGACTGGTAGTGTATATTTATAGAATTATTATTTGTATTGTATTTTATCTTTGTTAATGATATTATGAATAGGAAGGGTGGAGTTATGTCACATGTGCAGTTAACAAACATATATGGAAATGTTTGCTCTCCCCAAAATTACATAGAACTGATTGTAGCATTACTGCAAAAATGGAGGAGGGAAGGGGGATAAGGTAGGGAACTTGTCTGCCTTTTACTATAGACCACAACAGACAAAAATACAAAAATATATCAGTTTTACTTGAGGATAAAATTGTTGACCACGGCACAATACAGGTTGCAAAATAGTTTGGAAGAGATTTTCGATGTGCCGATTCCGTTCAATTTAAATGATTATACAAAATTCTTGCCACAAAGAGACAGCATCATTAGATTACTTATTTTGGTATTGCCCCTATGTAGCTTGTTTCTGGTCACAGGTTCAGGAATGGCTGAAAAATCACATTTATCTAAAATGAACCCTACAAATAGCACTGTTGGGAGATTTGGAAAACCATAGTCAATCAATCAACAATATAATAGTATTGTACTTTTAGTTAAAATATTTATCTTTAACTTACAGTCTGTCGATACTATGCGATTAGACATGTTCAGAATTTGTGAAACATCACAGCACATTTGAAAAATAAATGGAACATGGAAATCTTAAGAGGGCTTTTTACGGAGATGGGTTGGATGGACTGAGAGTAGCTGAGGGGTGGGGTTTAAAAGCTTGTGTTCTATAATAGTTATGACTGAAAACACAATGTATAAGTACTATCTATACTGAACAAAAATGTAAAAGCAACATGTTTCATGAGCTGAAATAAAAGATCCCAGAAATGTTCCGTACGCACAAAAAGTTTATTTCTCTCAAATTTTGTGCACACATTTGTTTACATCCCTGTTACTGAGCATTTCTCATTTTCCAAGATAATCCATCCACCTGACAGGTGTGGCATATCAAGAAGCTGATTAAACAACAGGATCATTACACAGGTGCAACTTGTGCTGGGGACAATAAAAGGCCACTCTAAAATGTGCAGTTTTATCACACAACACAATGCCACAGATGTCTCAAGTTTTGAGGGAGTGTGCAATAGGCATGCTGACTGCAGGAATGTCCACCAGAGCTGTTGCCAGAGAATTGTATGTTAATTTCTCTACCATAAGCCACTTCCAGCTTTGTTTTAGAGAATTTGGCAGTACGTCCAACCAGCCTCACAACCGCAGACCACGTGTAAGCCTAGGACCTCCACATCCGGCTTCTTCATCTGTGGGATCGTCTGAGACCAGCCACCCGGACAGCTGATGAAACGGAGGAGTATTTCTGTCTGTAATAAAGCCCTTTTGTGGGAAAAACTAATTCTGATTTGCTGGGCCTGGAGCGCCAAATAAGCAAACTTATTTAATTTCAAACTTCACATTTCTCTAGTATAGGCTACTTATCATAATGAATGATATCAGCAAAATGCCAGCGATGAATGGTCAGTGTCGATAATTTTCTGTTTATCGTCCCAGCTCTACCTCAAGGAGCCAACGTGTGCAACAAGCTGTTGTGACAGCATTTGCTACTTTTTATGGGCGCAGGACTACTACGGCTGGGCAGGACGTTGGAAAATACAGATCAGCTAGTACTGTCGATCATGCAGCGCAAACAAATCAGCGGCGGCATCGTTGAGGGATCACTGATTCCTTATGCTCGCTCCCCCCCGTCATTAAAAGCAGTCGTTTCTCAGATGAACGATGCGTTTGCTCCTTAATTATGGGAAGACTCAGCCATGTCTGTTGACAATCTATTTTCTCTTTATTTAATTATTATGCTTAAGTTCCCATATTACCAGGCAGCTGTTCACACAATAGACAGACAGACCACTCCGTGTGGAGAAATGTCTGAATGCTGCCTGCAACAGACATATCCATGATGGCCGTAGTATGAGGATTAGTAGATGTGACAGATTTAGTCCAGTCAGTGACAGAAAGGTTGCTCACTCAATGAAAACAAGGACACCGGCAACAGAGATCCTCTTATTCAATAATATGAAGACGCTTCAATAATATAATGCTAATTTCCTGACATGAAGCTATTCAGAACATGATGGAGCTTTGGAGTTTGATGGCCTCTCAGTTTGTGTGTGGGTGTGGTTAGGTGGTGGGTTTCATGAATATAAGTGTGTGTGTGTGTGTGTGTATGTATGTGTGTTTTTAAGGGTGAGTGAGTGGTGGGTTTTGATGGGGTTCATACTGTAAGTGTGTGTGTGTGTGTTGACTGTTTTAATAATAATCTCCCCCTCTTCCACAGCTCCCATCCCAGATGGGTTCTCTGCTGGGCTCCAGTCTGGCACTCTGTTACCTGGACTACGTACAGGATGACTCCGCCTTCCTCCGACTCAACTTCTGGCTGGGCCACGCCCTCCATGAGGGTAAAACCAGGAACTTACCATTCACCAACCACTACGACTTCCCTCCATTGTCTCTCTTACATTGTGAAAGAGGGAAGTAGAAAGAAAAAAGCCCAAAACACTAAAATCTCCGTACCCTCCAAATTGACCCTCATCAATTCACAGTAGGCATTTCAGAGCAACCGTCTGACGAACAGCTTTTATGAAAATAAAGAGTTTGGGTGTCAAGGTTGTACAGTCATGGTCAAAAGTTTTGAGAATGACACAAGTATTGGTTTTCACAAAGTTTGCTGCTTCAGTGTTTTTAGATATTTTTGTCAGATGTTACTATGCTATACTGAAGTATAATTACAAGCATTCCATAAGTGTCAAAGGCTTTTATTGACAATTACATTAAGTTTATGCAAACAATCAATATTTGCAGTGTTGACCCTTCTTTTTCAAGACCTCTGCAATCCGCCCTGGCATGCTGTCAATTAACTTCTGGGCCACATCCTGACTGATGGAAGCCCATTCTTGCATAATCAATGCTTGGAGTTTGTCAGAAATTGTGGGGTTTTGTTTGTCCACCCGCCTCTTGAGGATTGACCACAAGTTCTCAATGGGATTAAGGTCTGGGGAGTTTTCTGGCCATGGACCCAAAATGTCGATGTTTTGTTCCCCGAGCCACTTAGTTATCACTTTTGCCTTATGGCAAGGTGCTCCATCATGCTGGAAAAGGCATTGTTCGTCACCAAACTGTTATTGGATGGTTGGGAGAAGTTGCTCTCGGAGGATGTGTTGGTACCATTCTTTATTCATGGCTGTGTTCTTAGGCAAAATTGTGAGTGAGCCCACTCCCTTGGCTGAGAAGCAACCCCACACATGAATGGTCTCAGGATGCTTTACTGTTGGCATGACACAGGACTGATGGTAGCGCTCACCTTTTCTTCTCCGGACAAGCTTTTTTCCGGATGCCCCAAACAATCGGAAAGGGGATTCATCAGAGAAAATGACTTTACCCCAGTCCTCAGCAGTCCAATCCCTGTACCTTTTGCAGAATATCAGTCTGTGCCTGATGTTTTTCCTGGAGAGAAGTGGCTTCCTCGCTGTCCTTCTTGACACTAGGCCATCCTCCAAAAGTCTTCGCTTCACTGTGCGTGCAGATGCACTCACACCTGCCTGCTGCCATTCCTGAGCAAGCTCTGCACTGGTGGTGCCCCGATCCCGCAGATGAATCAACTTTAGGAGACGGTCCTGGCACTTGCTGGACTTTCTTGGGCTTCCTGAAGCCTTCTTCACAACAATTGAACCTCTCTCCTTGAAGTTCTTGATGATCCGAGAAATGGTTGATTTAGGTGCAATCTTACTAGCAGCAATATCCTTGCCTGTGAAGCCTTTTTTGTGCAAAGCAATGATGATGGCACATGTTTCCTTTCAGGTAACCATGGTTAACAGAGGAAGAACAATGATTTCAAGCATCACCCTCCTTTTAAAGCTTCCAGTCTGTTATTCTAACTCAATCAGCATGACAGAGTGATCTCCAGCCTTGTCCTCGTCAACACTCTCACCTGTGTTAACTAGATAATTACTGACATGATGGCAGCTGGTCCTTTTGTGGCAGGGCTGAAATGCAGTGGAAATGTTTTGGGGGGATTAAGTTCATTTTCATGGCAAAGAGGGACTTTGCAATTAATTGCAATTCATCTGATCACTCTTCATGACATTCTGGAGTATATGCAAATTGCCATCATCAAAACTGAGGCAGCAGACTTTGTGAAAATTAATATTTGTGTCATTCTCAAAACTTTTGACCACGACTGTAGAACTAACAAATCTGTTTCATCATCCCTTTTTTGTTCTGTTCTATCCCCTGAACGTTTCACCAGTGAAACCTTTTTTATTTTGGGTTTCAGAGTTTCTGTTCTGCAGCGGGGACGGGGGCTCTGGGAGTTCGTCCGAGGCGCTCCACTTCCTCAACAAGTTGCTCTCCACACAGCACTTCCTCCAGGTGAGCCTCTGCCCCTTCATCGCCGCCATCCAGGCCCCTCTCGCATCCCGTTCCCCTCCCTGCCTTCCCCTCTTTGCCAGATCTGTATCTGTCAGAGCGGGTTAAACTCTTTCTTCTCTGCTCCCACGCTTCTCCCCCGCTGCTCATTAATAAATTATGCCACAGTCAAACGCTAATTTGAGATGCGTATGTTTTGTCTCCCCCCTCTTCCTCAGGAGGGCTTCTCCAGCACAGAGGGCTTCCTCTACAAGTTCCTGAACGTTTGGGACGGTTCGCTCCTCCGCCCCCAGATCCTAGGCTTGCTGAGTGACATCCCCGTGGTCCCCAGTTCCTGTGAGTAGGCCCTGTTCGCTTGGCTGCCTCACGCTCCTCTCCTCCAGTCTCTCTTCCCTAATTAAACAGCTGAACTGTAACGGGGGGGGCACGTGACTACGTTTCCCAGGCTCCCTGGCATATGCTGCCAGCCTGCCATGTGCTGGGGATTGCATGGTTAGGAATGTTGAATTCATTGCTCTCCCCATCTCTCCCAGGTATCAGCCAGCTTCTGTTTGAGCCCCTCATGCAGCTGTTCTTCACCTCCACGCTGTTTTTCAAGGTAATAGTCAACAGAATCCCTCAAAATAGATCCCGCTTCGAATCAAACATAAGAAGCTTGCATCACACCACTGTATCCATGTACAGTCCAGCTATCCGCAGTCTTTTAAATCCTGGGTCGTATTCATTTGGCACCAAACAGAAGAAAACATACTGAAACAGGGACCAACTACCTGGACTTGTCCAATGAGAACCGTGTGCTTTCGTTTTCTCATGGAAAAACGTTTTACAAATGTTTGCTACGGTGTGCCTTAATGAACACGACCCCGTTGTAGTTCTAAATATCCCTCGTTTTTCCCCACTTTGAATATGTTTCAACTCTAACACCCCTCTGTTGTCTGTCCTCTCTAGTGCAGTGTGATTGACTGTCTGAACAACATGCTGTTGAAGTGGCTGACCTGGCACTCTGTGTACGCCCTGGAGGACGGCCTGGACATCAGTCTCAACAGCCACACACCCATGTGAGTCTCACTGTCCCTGTCCCACTCACTCACTCAGACACGTCCCTGTCCCACCCACTCACTCAGACACGTCCCACCCACTCACTCAGACACGTCCCTGTCCCACTCACTCACTCAGACACGTCCCTGACCCACTCACTCACTCACTCACTCAGACACGTCCCTGACCCACTCACTCACTCAGACACGTCCCACCCACTCACTCAGACACGTCCCTGTCCCACTCACTCACTCAGACACGTCCCTGTCCCACCCACTCACTCACTCAGACACGTCCCTGTCCCACCCACTCACTCAGACACGTCCCTGTCCCACCCACTCACTCACTCAGACACGTCCCTGTCCCACCCACTCACTCACTCAGACACGTCCCTGACCCACTCACTCAGACACGTCCCTGTCCCACTCACTCACTCAGACACGTCCCTGTCCCACCCACTCACTCAGACACGTCCCACCCACTCACTCAGACACGTCCCTGTCCCACTCACTCACTCAGACACGTCCCACCCACTCACTCACTCAGACACGTCCCTGTCCCACCCACTCACTCACTCAGACACGTCCCTGTCCCACTCACTCACTCAGACACGTCCCTGACCCACCCACTCACTCAGACACGTCCCACCCACTCACTCAGACACGTCCCTGTCCCACTCACTCAGACACGTCCCTGACCCACTCATTCACTCACTCAGACACGTCCCTGTCCCACTCACTCACTCAGACACGTCCCTGTTCCACTCACTGTCACCCCCTCACTCACTGTCACTCACTCACACTTCCAGAACCTCAGCTCCGTAACTTCCTTGAGTTAAAGACATACAGTATTCAGATCCCTTCCCCTTTTCCACATTTTGTTACGTTACAGCCTTATTCTCAAATGGAGTAAATAAAAATAATTCCTCATCAATCTACACACAATACCCCATAATGACAAAGCGAAAACAGATTTTTAGATATTTTAGCAGATCATTCTGCAACTTGATTGGAGTCCACCAGTGGTAAATTCAATTGATTGGACATGATTTGGAAAGGAACACTGTCTATATAAGGTCCCACAGTTGACAGTGCATGTCAGAGCAAAAACCAAGCCATGAGGTCGAAGGAATTGTCTGTAGAACTCCGAGACAGGATTGTGTCGATGCACAGATCTGAGATAGGGTACCAAAACATTTCTGCAGCATTGAAGGTTCCCAAAAACACAGTGGCCTCCATCATTCTTAAATGGAAGAAGTTTGGAACCACCAAGAGCTGGCTGCCTGGCCAAACTGAGCAATCGGGGGAGAAGGACCTTGGTCAGGGAGGTGACCAAGAACCCGATGGTCACTCTGACAGAGCTCCAGAGTTCCTCTGTGGAGATGGGAGAACCTTCCAGAAAGACAAGCATCACTGCAGCCCTCCAACAATCAGGCCTTTATGGTAGAGTGGCCAGACGGAAGCCACTCCTCAGTAAAAGACACATGACAGCCCACTTGGAGTTTGCCAAAAGGCACCTAAAGGACGCTCAGACCATGAGAACCAAGATTCTCTGGTCTGATGAAACCAAGATTGAACTCTAACTCTTTGGCCTGAATTCCAAGTGTTACGTCTGGAGGAAACCTGGCACCATCCCTACGGTGAAGCGTGGTGGCAGGATCATGCTGTGGGGATGTTTTTCAGCGGCAGGGCCTGGGAGACTAGTCAGGATCGAGGCAAAGATTAACCGAGCAAAGTACAGAGAGATCCTTGATGAAAACCTGCTCCAGAGCGCTGAGGACCTCAGACTGGGGCGAAGGTTCACCTTCCAACACGACAACGACCCTAAGCACACAGCCAAGACAACGCAGGAGTGGCTTCGGGACAAGTCTCTGAATGTCCTTGAGTGGCCCAGCCAGAGCCCGGACTTGAGCTCGATCGAACATCTAGCTGTTTAGCGACACTCCCCATCCAACCTGACAGAGCTAGAGAGGATCTGCAGAGAAGAATGGGAGAAACTGTGCCAAGCTTGTAGCGTCATACCCAAGAAGACAAAGTACTGAGTAAAGGTTCTGAATACTTATGTAAATGTGATATTTCTATGTTTTATTTTTAATAAATTTGCAAAAATGTATAAAAACCTTTTTGCTTTGTCATTATGGGGTACTGTGTGTACATTGATGAAAAAACTATTAAATCAATTTTAGAATAAGGCTGTAACGTAACAAAATGTGGAAAAAGTCAAGGGATCTGAATACTTTCCGAATGCGCTGTATTTCATTGTCTTCCTCTCCAGTATTCTAACTCTTCACAAACGCCCAATCTGAACCCATCAAGGTTAATGTGGTCTCCAATACATTTTTATTCCCTTCCATTTTCAACTTCATCTCTGGAGGGAAACTCAATGAAACGCAGTGCTGAAATCAATGGCTGTGGTGTGTGGTTGGCCACCTCCTCTCAACCTCCTCGGTTTCTCCTCATCTCTCTCCGCCCGGCCGCATTGCTTCACACTCAGCGCTGATTTGGTTATTGTCTTTTATTGCGTTAACCGAGATGGGCGGGTCTGCTGAAGGAGAAATTAATATGATCCAAGGGCAAAGCCCCCTTTTTGACCGTCTCAGTAGTCCCATGCATCATTAGGATTCATGCGCTTCTCTCCTATTATGGCCGTTTTTTTGTGTTGTGTAAGGGTTTACAGTATGTGAATACCCTGCCTCCCCTCCCCAGGAACATGACTCTCTCTGGCTTCATGGACTCTGTCATGGAGCTGGTGCGTTTCGTGGGCCGCCTGGCCACCGTGGGGCTGCAGCTAGAGGGCTGCCACTCCCTGCTCCTCAGCTTCATCCTGGACTTCTATGAGACGGTAATCAATCCAGATTAAGCCAATACATTTAATTTAATACATAAATAAAATAAAATACAGTGCACTCTTCTAGTGATCACACAGGAAAATGTTTGATCTTTATAAGCAGTTGATCATCGTAATCACATTCATTATAAGCAGAATGCACTGTCAGTTTTTCCATATTCATGCTCCATAAAAAAAAATGACATTACGATATTCGTTCTGTGGTGTTGACCTGTGTGTCCCTGTGCGTGCCGTGCAGGTGTGTGACATGTTCCTGAAGTACGGGCTCCCCCTTGTGGTCATGCCCCCCGTGGGAGTGTTCTACCCAGCCCTGTTCGCCACCGACCCCGTCAGCGTTGACCGCCTCGGCTACATCATGTACAGGTGGGGAGGGAGGAGTGGTGATGTCAACCCCGTTACTATCATGTCAACACCGGGTCTGACAGTGTTGACACTGTGACTCAACACCGTCACGTCAGCGTGTCATCTTTCACACACAAACCATCACTGCCATGTCGTGTGCAAAGCATCTACATGTATGTCAAACTTTCTCCTATATATATATTTGATGACGCAAGTGAATGGTAAGCAGTCTTGGTGCAGCACGCCAACCAGAACACTGCATTTATGATTCATGATAATGAAGGGTCCAGGATGCAGAATTGCACTAAGAGAGAAAATGTTTCGAGGCCATGAAGAATGCAAAAGGCATGCATTACTCAAGCACAAATATCTTGTCGCACAAATTGCTTGTATCCTACATGGGCCTCTGTATACTGAGTATAACAATTCAAACAAGTGAACATACCTCTATAGCGTGACAAAAGAGCTTTTATTAAAACAGGCCAAAGATCTGGTCTGATATACATTTACTGCGACTATTGCTACTATGGTTGTTGTTTTATTTATCGTAAAATATTCTGCTCGCAACAAATGGAAATATGTTGTTTACATAACATGGAAAGCAATGTGGTTGTTTTTCTACCCTTAAACAGACGACTAAGGTTATTGCAATTTTTTCAGGTACAAGAAGAACCTGACCTCTGCTAAGTGTCAACAACAGGAGACCAAGGTAATGAAAGCGCTCCCTTTAAGATACATTTTCTGCTTTGCATATTTAACATTGTTTTTGCATAATCAAGCCATTCAAGGCTCCTCGCGTGGCCAATTCTACCCCTCCACATAATGAACAAAACTATTAGAATTAAGTGCTGATTACAGAAAATGGCAATTTAGGTTGTTACTTGTTCAAACAAAAAACACACCAATTACTTTTTTTATTTTGTATGCCAGTTCTAGTGTATGAAGGAAATTGAATTTTCAAGTAGGTGCTGGCAATTACACTGAACAAAATATACAGTATGTAAATGTCATATTTCCGTTTTTTTATTTTGAATACATTTGCAAACATTTCTAAAAACATTTTTTTGCTTTGTCATTATGGGGTATTGTGTGTAGATTGATGAGGGGGAAAAAACAATTTAATCCATTTTATAATAAGGCTGTAATGTAACAAAATGTGGAAAAAGTCAAGGGGTCTGAATACTTTCCCAATGCACTGTAAATGCAACATGTAAAGTGTTGGTCCCATGTTTCATGAGCTGAAATAAAAGATTCGAAAATCTTTCCATACACACAAAAAGCTTATTTCTCTAAAATGTTGTGCACAAATTTGTTTACATCCCTTTTAGTGAGCATTTCTCCTTTGCCAAGATGATCCATACACCTGACAGGTTTGGCATATCAAGAAGCTGATTAACAGCATCATCATTACACAGGTGCACCTTGTGCTGGGGACAAAAGGCCACTCTAAAATTTGCAGTTTTATCACACAACACAATGCCACAGATGTCTCAAGTTTTGAGGGAGCGTGCAATTGGCATGCTGATTGCAGGAATGTCCACCAGAGCTGTTGCCAGAGAATTGAATGTTCATTTCTCTACCAAAGCCGCCTCCAAAGTCGTTTTAGAGAATTTGGCAGTACGTCCGACCGTCTTCACAACCGCAGATCACATGTAACCACGCCAGCACAGGACCTCCACATCCGGCTTCTTCACCTACGGGATCGTCTGAAACCAGCCACCCGAACAGCTGATGAAACTGTAGGTTTGCACAACTGAAGAATCTCTGCACAAACTGTCAGAAACCGTCTCATAGAAGCTCGTCTGCATGCTTGTCATCCTCACCAGGGTCTTGACCTGACTGCAGTTCATCGTCGTAATCGACTTAAGTGGGCAAATGCTCACCTTCGATGGCCACTGGCACGCTGGAGAAGTGTGGGGTTATGGTATGGGCAGGCATAAGCTACGGGCAACGAACACAATTGTGTCCCAGTTCTTCCATGGCCTGCATAGTCACCAAACATGTCACCCATTGAGCATGTTTTGGGATGCTCTGGATCGACGTGTATGACGGCGTGTTCCAGTTCCCGTCAATATCCAGCATCTTTGCATAGCCTTTGAAGACAGTGCGACAACATTCATGAGGCAAATGGTGGTCACACCAGATACTGACTGCTTTTCTGATCCACTCCACTACCTTTTCTTGTATGTATCTGTGACCAACAGATGCATATCTGTATTCCTAGTCATGTGAAATCCATAAATTAGGGCCTAATGAATTTCAATTAACTGATTTCCTTATATGAACTGTAACTCAGAAAAACCTTTGAAATAATTGTATGTTGCATTTATTTTTTTGTTCCGTGTGTGTATATATACAGTGGGGAGAACAAGTATTTGATACACTGCCGATTTTGCAGGTTTTCCTACTTACAAAGCTTGTAGAGGTCTGTAATTTTCATCATAGGTACACTTCAACTGTGAGAGACGGAATCTAAAACAAAAATCCAGAAAATCACATTGTATGATTTTTAAGTAATTAATTTGCATTTTATTGCATGACATAAGTATTTGATCACCTACCAACCAGTAAGAATTCCAGCTCTCACAGACCTGTTAGTTTTTCTTTAAGAAGCCCTCCTGTTCTCCACTCATTACCTGTATTAACTGCACCTGTTTGAACTCGTTACCTGTATAAAACACACCTGTCCACACACTCAATCAAACAGACTCCAACCTCTCCACAATGGCCAAGACCAGAGAGCTGTGTAAGGACATCAGGGATAAAATTGTAGACCTGCACAAGGCTGGGATGGGCTACAGGACAATAGGCAAGCAGCTTGGTGAGAAGGCAACAACTGTTGGCGCAATTATTAGAAAATGGAAGAAGTTCAAGATGACGGTCAATCACCCTCGGTCTGGGGCTCCATGCAAGATCTCACCTTGTGGGGCATCAATGATCATGAGGAAGGTGAGGGATCAGCCCAGAACTACACGGCAGGACCTGGTCAATGACCTGAAGAGAGCTGGGACCACAGTCTCAAAGAAAACCATTAGTAACACACTACGCCGTCATGGCTTAAAATCCTGCAGCGCACGCAAGGTCCCACTGCTCAAGCCAGCGCATGTCCAGGCCCGTCTGAAGTTTGCCAATGACCATCTGGAGGATCCAGAGGAGGAATGGGAGAAGGTCATGTGGTCTGATGAGACAAAAATAGTGTTTTGGTCTAAACTCCACTCGCCGTGTTTGGAGGAAGAAGAAGGATGAGTACAACCCCAAGAACACCATCCCAACCATGAAGCATGGAGGTGGAAACATCATTCTTTGGGGATGCTTTTCTGCAAAGGGGACAGGACGACTGCACCGTATTGAGGGGAGGATGGATGGGGCCATGTATCGCGAGATCTTGGCCAACAACCTCCTTCCCTCAGTAAGAGCATTGAAGATGGGGTCGTGGCTGGGTCTTCCAGCATGACAACGACCCGAAACACACAGCCAGGGCAACTAAGGAGTGGCTCCGTAAGAAGCATCTCAAGGTCCTGGAGTGGCCTAGCCAGTCTCCAGACCTGAACCCAATAGAAAATCTTTGGAGGGAGCTGAAAGTCCGTATTGCCCAGCGACAGCCCCGAAACCTGAAGGATCTGGAGAAGGTCTGTATGGAGGAGTGGGCCAAAAACCCTGCTGCAGTGTGTGCAAACCTGGTCAAGACCTACAGGAAACGTATGATCTCTGTAATTGCAAACAAAGGTTTCTGTACCAAATATTAAGTTCTGCTTTTCTGATGTATCAAATACTTATGTCATGCAATAAAATGCAAATTAATTACTTAAAAATCATACAATGTGATTTTCTGGATTTTTGTTTTAGATTCCGTCTCTCACAGTTGAAGTGTACCTATGATAAAAATTACAGACCTCTACATGCTTTGTAAGTAGGAAAACCTGCAAAATCGGCAGTGTATCAAATACTTGTTCTCCCCACTGTATATAGCTCTGGGTTCAGACACGCCAATATGTTTACCCCAAATATCAGACTTAACAAGAAAAATGGGTCCGGTAAACGGCATGCAAATTTCAGCGCGTGCAAACATTGGAGATAATGGACCCAGAGACACCCGACCCTGTGAAATTCCACGAGATGGGCTATTTATTTAGCGACGCGCTGATTGAGTGTTTAAACTACGTCTCCATCGCTCTCTTTTTCCTCTCTTCTTTCTTGTCATCTCCCCATCACAGCAGGCGTTTCACATCAGCAGGCAGACGTACAAGGAGTTTAACCACTACCTGCTCTTCATGGTGAGCTGCCTGTGGAACTCCAAGATGTTCCTGCCAGGCATGGCCATCGAGGTGGACCAGGAGCTCCTGGCTCTCAGCAAAGTCCCCGAGCCCCGGACCAGCTTTGACCTCATCCACCACCCTGCCTTCCTGGGCTACGCCCTCGACTTTCACCACAAGGTGAGTTTAGATTAGAATTTAGATTCAATTAATTTTTGTGATCATTTAATTTATATTGTGATTTACATATTGCAATTTGCCAGGCATTTTATAATGTTCAGGTCTGTGAAACCAATTTATATACTGTATATAATTTCCATAAATGTCCACATAACTGTTTATGCTCAGTTTATATATGAAGTCTAATTTCCAAACTTCAAGAGAGCAGCCATCCTCTCCAGTTGAGTTAATAAAGTTTAAGGTCGGACAAGGAGATGAATATGGTATTAATGTAAATTTTATAGAAGATCAGAATCAGTTTATTATTCATGACATTGCATGAGACTTGCGTTTTCATCATGTTAAATAATCCAAGTACCTTCTTTTGGTCCGAAACCGCCTTAACACCCAGTACACTGTTCTACTGAGGGGGAAACTGTTGAATATTAATAATTCTCTCTTTATCAGTGTTGGCCAGAGAGGAAGGACATGGACCTCAATTCCATCAAGGTACCACAGTCCTATTACTTCTTCCAGGTTTTTTTTATATACGTGCACTGATGTGCGTTTGAAGTATGCCATTCATTTTTCATGATAATTTCTATTGATCAGCGAGCCATAGTATCAGGGATGGGAGTCCTGGATGGCCTGTATGTATTTGATGGTCTGTAAAGCGCTATTTCTTTCTGTCTGTAGGCTGGGAAGCAGTGGGACTGGTACCTGGAGTTCCTCTTCTCTCAGGGCTTTCATGGCCTCCAACAGTTTATCCAAAGTAGCATCAACCGGCGCTCTGTGGCTGGAATCAATGGCCAAAGAGGCAGCCAGCCCACAAGCAGGTAAACGACAGGCCTAACGGGAGGAGAAAACAGAAAACACAAAAGACCTGAAACTTCTCTGTGTTGTAAAATACGTGTACATATTTTATCTCGCCATATTCTCCAAGGAAAGATTCACAAGAGACTTGTCTTTTTCTCTGTAAATAGCCACTATTTTTAATCCACTATTTTTAATCCTGACTGTATTTTTATTTAGTTTTGTCCATATTTTAATTCCGCTTGGTGTTATCTGTTCTCTTGTATAGCTTATCCATCCATCTATTATTTATGTGGAACTTGCACATTAATAAGAATACATTTCATCGTATTTTTTTTATTTTTTTTACTAAAGCACCCCCCTGGTCTTTTACTAAATTACACCAATGCTCCTAAAAACAAACATTCAACATGCGGGAACATGCACACGTGTGTACTAATGAAAATGTGAATATCCTTTCTATTAAAAACCATTGGTAGAATTCATTAAGGGAGAAATCATCAGTATCTATTGCAGTTACTGGCTCAACCATCTGGAAAACAAAATGTTCCCTTAATTGAAGGATCCATCTGAATAGTTAATAGGCTCTCCAGCTACAGTACCTTGGAACATGCTGGGTGCAGGGAAACGCACCATTCTCACTGTGCCACCACAGACTTTCCCTCTGAGCACAACCATTACTGACAATGGGGTTAACAGGTGTGCTGTGTTTACACTGCATGTATTATGGCTGTGTTCATGTCAATATATTGAGTAAATTCTTCAGCCCATGGTTCCTTTTATTTTTCAACGTAGTGGTATAGCAATGTCAATGTAATGGTCAATTTCACATAAATTGCTGACTGTCCACCAATCCATCATAATTGGACCATTGCTGTGTCTAGCCCCCATTTTCTGCTGTTTAAACTAAGTACCTCAATTTCAAAGGTGAAAGTTTGCATTAGCTCCTGTAGCCTGTTTTTGTGTGCTTTTAATATTATAATTCCCTTCAACAAATAAAGTTTTTCTCATGCAGTGATGGCAACTCACAGAGGGGATGAATATTTCAAAATGAATGCAGTATTAATGGGCTAATTTAAAGAGACCCTTGTCACCTCATAGTCTCCATGAGGTCTGGATCTGGTCTGTTTTGTTTGGCTCCTTGTTTTGAGTGGTTGAAAACATTGCCTGAATGCATAGGATCCTTACTACAGTATCCTAATTAGACAAGCTATATCACAGGACAAGGAAACTCCAACTACAGTAGCCTTTCATGGATGATGACTTTGTGGATATGGATTTTCAACATATTACATTCTGCTACATCGTTTATAGAAAAATTGGCAGATTTTTGATGTGCCTAACTGATTTGAATAGCCGAGAGGACCACCTTAAGCAGGTCTCTGATGTCAACGTCAATGAGAGCGAGACTCCAGCTTTACAGCGCTACTCTGACCGGAGTATGGTTTGGCGTTTGAAATGTTCATCTTCGCACCAGTCTCTGCACTTTTCGGCTTTCCCCTATTGATGGGTATTTCAGTCTGTAATACAATCTATTAGGCTGTTGCATGGCACTTTCAGACACGACTTGTGCCAAATCTCCTGACAAGAAAAAGGTAAGAGTAAATGCATCCTAAGTATGAATTTCTGTAATGTGTGTTTAATTAGACCATGAACGCAAGTAATGTGTTTTGCATTATATTCTCTCTGAGTCACTGACATAATACCACATATTCGCACCTTGTGTTATGTATTTTTGTGGAAAACAAATCAATGTTTTAATGGGGCGAGAATGCTGTAATGCCCGATGTTTTGCGATGATGTCCGGGTTAGATGAGCTGCCAGGCTTTCAACAGACTCAGAATAAAACGCTAGAATATAGTCGATGTATTGGGATATTGTAGGCTACCATGTTGCATAGATTGAAATAATATTAAATACACTTACCGTGCTTTCTGTTCGGCATGGTTCTACGTGAGAGAATACAAAAGGTTTTATGTGCGCAACTCAAGATTTTGGCAACGGGCGCAGCAGACGACTCATCCAGAAGCCAAAATGTGTAAACACCGTACCAAAATGTTTAGCTGTTGCTCATGCAAAGATCAGTCTTGTCATGTCATTTAAAATTGCAGAGTTGCATGGCATGTTGCATTTTCGTTATTTGTAGTCTAAATGGAGTATGAATTATTACTTGGGCATCGGGCTATTGGCTTCTCGATGCTGAGTGACACCGGTTAAGCCAGATATAAAGCCACATCATTTGTTTCAAGATACAGGTAAAGAAGTCTGTCTTACTCTGGTGTGAAGAAACAGAAGTTGACAGTGACTTTGAAAGGGAAAATCTAGTATTGTCTCCGTTTGTATTGAACGTTTTTTACACCACTAGAGATGACAGTACTTAAATAGGAACTTGAAGGTTCTTAAAGCTGCATTATGAAGAATTCTTTGATCTTCTCTACTGCCCGACAGCTCTCACTGCTTAAGGCAGGTTAGTTCAGTCAGTGAGATGAACATATAAAAGTGTCTGGGAGCTCCATGTGCTGCTTTAGAAAGAACAGAATAATGTCCATAAATAAACATGATATATCCTGCCTGGGAGGGAATGGGTGTGAATAATGTGTGATCAACAGAATACAACTGGTTTTCTGATGCTATAGTTCATTTATCTGCATTCAGTGTAGCAAAGACTTGCATGTTGGCTAAAGGGCTCAGTATTCATGTGAAACATGTTAAAGGGATTAGAAGCATGTTTCATTGTCACTGCCTCTCACTTACATGCTATGTATTTTCTCCACACTACTAGGGTATCTGTGTTTAGATTGCTCTACAGCATATCCCTGAATTACCCTGATCATTCCTCTAATGGCTCCTATTTGTCTTTATAAAACACAAACTTGTCAGCCTTATCGCTGGTGATGGTGCCTTTATGTAGATTATTGTGCATTTTGACAAGCGTAAGAGTGTGTGTAATGTTCAAGTCAACCACATATTGCACAGTGCTCCTGAGGTATGGCTGCTTTCTTTTCACGGTTTTGTTTACTGTCGATCCCTCAGACGCACGGATCCTAAACATGCATTTTTGTATTGCATTATTTATATGGCGGCGTAGTAGTAGAGGCACAGCCTGAGCCAACGAGTGTCTGAGGCGCCAGGCTTTCTTTTCTCCTCTTTTCATTCAGGAGAGTGATCTGAAAATGTCAGTCCCCGTTAGTATCGCCAGGGTCTTCAGGAACTCTAGCCGAGCGTTAAGAACGAGCAATCTACCAACTGTTACTCTCTGACATTACATATTCTTGCTTGATGTCTCTGTTCTACCTGAGTCAAATAATGTAGTGCTTCTGGGAATAATCATCTTCCCAGACATTTTCCTCTGTCATTTTCTCTTTCCTGTCCAAATGCCATTTATAGGCTACAGCAGTCATGACTAAGAAGTGTCTGGTGGAGTCAAGAGGTCAAAGTGTCATTGTGATGTAATTACAAATGACACCAGCCTCGACCTATTGAAGTCCCACTGCTGCTCTCCTATAGGTTGGCTGTGATATACCAGTAATTCATGTTTGTGGCTCTGGCTCAGCATGTAGACTACACATAGTAGTTAATAGGAAACCCTATAGTGCCTGCGGACTGGAGACAAAGGCACCGAGTCACGTCTTCTGTCATCACAATCATTCTATCCAACAGAAGAGCCACCAGACAGCCATACCAACCGCTCCCAGCCCTGTGTCAAGTGAGTCCCCCAGTAGAATCACAGATTGTAGGGGATGGGGGTGTTGTAGCTCGGAGCACGCTCCCTTAGCCTCCAGACAGGTGTATGCACTAAGCAGTACAGAGAAGCCCCATCAGCCATCACTTCTTCATCATACTCACCCAAGTCTGAAAGGAGATGAAGGGAGGGGATAGAGGGGATGTAAAAGTAGTTTGCTAACTCTATAAATCAAAGGCACCTTGGGTACCTAACCCCGACCATGGTGACTGGAAGCTATTATTTTGAATCTGGTAACCGATGCTCTCCTATTAACATTGAATGGCTTGGCGTCTGCCGGTTGTCTCCGGCGACACCTTTATGCCTGTTATTTATTGCCTGGCACTGCAGGCCTCGCTCTCTGAGCCGCTGACAGAGCCAAGCTCAGATTGTGGTGGCTACCACTCCTACTTATTATGGAGGAACAGGGTGTTTGTGGGTGGTGCCAGATTGTTTCCTTCCTTTTGTCTCGACCTCGGTGTAAACACACAGAGGGGGGTGAACGTATGTCTTCCCTTCCTGGATAAATGTTTCTCTTTCATTCTGCTTACAAAAATAACACAAACAAATAAGTGTTGAGTAAATGTTCAAATAAATGCATGGTTATTTAGGCTTTTATCAGTTATTAATGATTTATTATCTCCAATCCATTTTTGTCCTTGGGCCTTATCGCTTCCACTACAGAAGTTGTATAATTAGTTGTTAATCAGCAAACACGGTAATGCTTAAACTCATTTAATGCTGCATTTTTTGCCTCCGGTTTAGAGAAGTGCATCTAATGCGAATCTACAGTGGGGAAAAAAAGCATTTAGTCAGCCACCAATTGTGCAAGTTCTCCCACTTAAAAAGATGAGAGAGGCCTGTAATTTTCATCATAGATACACGTCAACTATGACAGACAAAATGAGAAAAAAATATCCAGAAAATCACATTATAGGATTTTTTATGAATTTATTAGCAAATTATGGTGGAGAATAAATATTTGGTCAATAACAAAAGTTTCTCAATACTTTGTTATATACCCTTTGTTGGCAATGACACAGGTCAAACGTTTTCTGTAAGTCTTCACAAGGTTTTCACACACTGTTGCTGGTATTTTGGCCCATTCCTCCATGCAGATCTCCTCTAGAGCAGTGATGTTTTGGGGCTGTCACTGGGCAACACGGACTTTCAACTCCCACCAAAGATTTTCTATGGGGTTGAGATCTGGAGACTGGCTAGGCCACTCCAGGACCTTGAAATGCTTCTTACGAAGCCACTCCTTCGTTGCCCGGGCGGTGTGTTTGGGATCATTGTCATGCTGAAA